TTTTTGCACCCTCATATTCCAGATTTTCAAATAGTTGTATCTCGGCTAAATATGGTCCTATCCTAACAAACCATACATCATTGGAATCCTTATTTTTAAAAATTTACCCTTATGACTGGTTTTGTGGTCCACATATAATTCATCCTGTTGGGACACAATTGTTAAAATGATTATTATTGCTAAACTATGTAACTTGGCCCTCTAGTGGTCCAAAAAACTGCATGTGTGATGTAGAAGAAGGTGTTTTGGTCGTGCTTCGGCTCTGCTTCTTGACATGGGAAGAATGTGGGTTTTAAGCATCAGTGGCATCAGTAAACATGAATACAACATGATACCTTATCAGAGCGGGGATGGATAAATAAATAACTTTTTTATACAACCATTAATTCCCCGGTTATCCAAAGCCTAGGCTACTTATTTTCTCTGTGTTTGGATATGAGTGACATGCATGGGCAAGTTTACATATGTACACAATTTCCCGCAAAATCCGACCCGACAGAAATATCATTATTATTCTTTTTTTTCTGCACTCTCGCTAATTAATTAATTTCCCCGTACAAAGGGGAAATGAAAGACAAGATATAACACAAACAGAAAAGTGTATTTACCCGAAGAGCTGCAATATCAGATGGAAAGCCATGAATGATAAGAACCATCTCCCTTAAAATGAAAAAAAAAAAAAAAAACATTTACCACAAAAGACCACCGGAGTTCCTGTTTAGAGATCTGATCGTAATATGTCTACCATATGAAATGTTCAGCTGATATCTCACCATGGTCCCCTGCCACTTGTTCTCTTGGCTCCTCCTCGGTGTCGTCCAGCGTTGTGTTGACCTATACGGCGCTCTGGGTTCACAGTGAAGCCAATATATATTCGACCCTTGAATTTCGGGTTAGTACAGTACAGCATATACACACCATAGAAACTCTCCACCTCTACCACCATCCTATTTGCTGCAGTAGCTCAAACACCTTTGCAGAGGGAGGGCTAGTAAGATGTGAAGCTATTTCTGTGCTTCTCATATATATCATCTGTTCATATCACTGCAATCTTTGGCACTATCCAACAACATCAGCATTATACACCACCTTTCAAGACCTTCATCTCAAGCGTCATTGCTATATCCTATTATAATCTAATTAACGTTATGTAATGTAGTTATTAAAGACTAAAAAAAGAACAGCGTCTGTTCTGTATCTTCTACTTTCTACTGTATTGAATCAAAACATCCTTCTTTAGGTTTTAACGGCTTGCATTGGTGTTCTTCTTATATTTTTACGGCGGTTGGCATCCAGCGTATTGGTGCATTACCGCCACCTTCTGCTCCGGAGTGTGAATCAGAAAATAGGTTTACAGACTAAATCACCCGTTCTCCCTCCTTTATCCCGACACACACATACCCACACACGCACACCTCATCCCTCATCCTTGGTGTTGCAAAACATTCATTTGTTTTGATAATGTGCCTTATTCGTTTCAAACTAGCCCGGTAAGTATGCCCTGGTATGGCCTGAGCAAAATATGCAATGCAGGAGTCACTTAGTAAGCGTATAAAAATAATGAGTTAAAATAGTTTGCCATAATCCACGTTATTAACAAATACGATTTTGACCATCTATATTGATTTAACTTGATTTGATCATCTGCAAATAGATTATGTGGCTTTTTCGATCGAGCAATTAAAGAGAACACCGATAACAACAAGGACCCCAAATTCTTTGTTTTTATTGGTCAGTTTTCATGCGTTTGGTAAACCGTACGATAAAGGGATTGGCCATTACGGTCTTCTAGAGGCGTGGCCTCTGTAATATTCCAAATCCAATTGGGTGTTTTTAGTACTTAGCTCCTCCTTTATAAGGCATACCGGTAGTTGAATGTATATCAGAATCAGAATTCAGAATCAGAATTAGCTTTATTCGCCAGGTGTGTGCAAACACGATTCTTTTTTTATGTTCCGTAATAGAATACAAAAGTGTGAAACCACTTCTGCTTTGCACCTTTCTAATTATTATTATTTATTTTAAATTTGAAGTTATAAGAATAACAACTTCAGTTTGAACATCAAACGTTTTAATGACAGCAACTGTCAAGGTGCATGAGCTCCACAAGTTAAAATCTGATGATCATAATTTAAGAATAATCCAGAATATTGTGCTTCAGTGCAAGAGCATCTGACTTTGTGTAAAAAGGAGTCACATGATAAGTCGCAAACGATACACAAGCTATTACTGATATTAGTGACCCAGAGATGGTACAGAATCGTATTTCTTATTCCTTTATGCTGTACTGTTACTGTTGTATGTTTCAATCGAAATCCGAAAAGTTTTGTTTTAATCCAATTTTCAGTGTGCTTTTTGGACCTTACTTTATCAAGGTTAACATTAATGAAAACAAAAATTAAATAAGATATTTTCTTTGACTGAAACTCTAAGAAACTAGCTAAAAAATAACTACAGGTGCATCTCAAAAAAATTTGAATATCGTGACAAAGTTCATTTTGTTTGTAACTTATTTCAAGTTTCTAGTTTCATTACATGTAAAGTAAAACATTTCAATTTTTTAGCTCTAAAGCTCTAATCATCAAAATTAAAACAAAAAACGTTTGAAATGTTTTACTTTACATGTAAGGAATCTAGAATATATGAACGTTTCACTTTTTGAAACAAGTTACAAAACTTTTTTACAATACTCTGATCTTTTGAGATGCACCTGTACAACTATAAAAATAATAATAATAATTC